TATAGTATGATATGCATTCTCCGTATTTTTTTTTTTTAACCATTCACACAATCTTGCATTATATAATTCGATTTAAATAACAAATTGTTAAATATGAGTGAAGTTCAATAAAATATAAACCAGGACAGTAAAGTGTTGTCTCTATACTAGTTATTTGCAATTGAATTAGTTTTATTTTAAAAAAAAATTGAAAATTTTACTTAACAAATACCTCGCATCTGGCTAGTTTGCTAAAAATTCATCAGCATTTATCCCTCATATTCACAAAAATCATTATGCTATTAACCAGTTGTTACATAGTATGATATGCACTTTCTGTATTTTTTTTTTTTTAATTATTTGTATATTATCAATGATGTTGCCAAAATTCTACTAACAATTTGAGTATTGAATTTGAAAATAGAAATGATAAGCTGACAATCAAGCCAGTTTAACTATAGTTTTGGAATTTCAACAATAGCTTTGAAACTTTAGCCATGACTTTGACCATGGTTTTGAAGCAGAGCCACCTCAAGCTGATTGAAAAGTTAATAATAAGCCAGCTTGATTGTTAGCCGATCTATATTTATTTTCAATTGTACATTTATATGAAAAAAAAAATTAAACCTTTCTTTCAAAAAAAAAGAAGTAAGATAAATCTTATATATAGCCTCAAGATCCAATTTTAAGTGCCAAAAATTTCTCAGTAAAGATTTTTGTTCAGCTTATTATTAGTAAGTATAAAAGGAGTTAAAAATTTATTTGCCCAATTTTATATTTATTCCCAATTCCATATTTATTTAAAATTTTACTTATAATTGTTATTGTTATAATAGATACTAATTGATGATCTTTATGATACTGACTTTCATAATACTCCTACTTCTGAGTTTCAGGACATTTTACAAGTTTCTGATGATAATGCGGCCACAAGTACTGCTACTACAAGTAATAGTAATATCACGTTCAATATTCCTGTTACTTCTGTTACTCCTATTATTTCAAATAAAAAAAAAAAATTTAAATCTAAATCCCCTGCTTTACTATATTTTTCACAAAAAACTATTGACAATAAGATAGTAATTTGTAGTTTTTGTAAAAATAAATTCAGAA